ATGATGGTGGAGCCTGGCCAAGGTGACTTTTCTGGTGTCATTTGAGGGGCACCAGAATTTCTAGTTGCACATATTCTGACTGATTTTATGCACAGCTTAAATTCATGAAAATGCTTTTGTATGTGCAGGATGGGGTTGAATAACAAAACAGCTCCTTAAGAGGGAAGAATGATAAGGCTGAATAAGTTTAGTACAGTGCCAATCATCTATGAGCTGGGATGCATCTTAGTCCTCAAAGTTGACTGTCTCTCTTAGTCTGGTGTAATATAGTATGGAGCAGTGATTCTCAGATTAATGTATGCCATATTTTTTGCGGCAGTTTGGGAAATACAAACATATTTTTATCTTAAAATATACAAGTATGTTAATCAGGATTCCATCAGGAAATAGATGATACATTTATTTAACAGAAGAGATTTTTAGTAAAGATTCTGTTCACAGAGTTATAGTCAGGATGGAGTGGTATGTCATACAGGGATGATAAGAGACCACTATCACCCCTAGGCCCCCCGGACCCACAAGAGACAAAGCTGTTGCTAGGGTCTGTCAGTGCTGTGGCCCAAGAGAGCTACTCAACAATGCCATGGCTCTGGGAACACAATCAATAACCTCAGCCAATGCCAGAGAAGTCGGGGAAAAAACACCTAGAATTTTCTCTTCTCTGGTCTGCAGATACTTTACCTTTCTTTCCAGGATACCAAGAGCCTTGCTGATACCGACAGGAGAGAGACTCCTTGGGCCATGCAGCCATGTAGGGAAGCTAAGTAATAGGCGGAAAAGACCTGGCAAGAACAGTGAAAGCAGAAAGAGGAATTCATGTGGGTCTTAGGGAAGTCACATCAGAGAACAGGGAAAGGAGGACGCCCTGGTGTATATATAAGGACCACATTCATCTTGATTTAGGGGCTCAGGGCATCAGGCTGGGAGAAGGGAATTTGGAGCTCAACAGAATTTAAACCTACTTTCCTAGATATACAATCTTTGACAACATGTTTTGCTTTTTCTTCTAACAGGCCATAATCTAATGTTTTCTCTTAATTGTAAGGAAAAATTTCTTAAAGCATTTCACCTTTTTCTTCTTAAAGCTAAGGTAAGACAAGAGCTGCATTTTCTGCTGGTTTGAATTATAAGTCCAAGGAGAAGTGTGTGACCAGGCTTGGCATAAGAGAAGGAGCCGGCTGTCTGCAGGGTGAAGATGGGGATCCATTTGAATGGAGCAAGTCTGCTCAGGGCTTTTTGCTGTTGTTGTTGCTCATACTTTGGAGGATTTTGCCTCCTTTCCTATGTAGTAAGGCAGGCCATCTGGCTCACCAATCAGATCAACCACATTAGTTTTCAATTCTGTGCCTGTTGGCCTGAAAATCCATCCCAGTTTCAGCCAGAACAGGAAGACTGTTAGTTTCTCTTCTTTTCTTTGTTTTCCATGCCCCTCTCTGCCAACGACCCAGGTACTTTTCAGATCCAGACAGAAGAAAGACCTATGCAATACCTTCTAGCTACATGAGCCTGTTTTAAATTGAAAATGAAATGCATTAAAATGAAGTTCAATAAAAATTCATTCCTGAGTCATTCTATCTGCATTTTATATGCTCAGTGGCTACATATGGTTGGTGGTGACTGTGTCAGACAGTGCATAATGTCCCCACCACTCCAGAAAGTTCTTCCAGATATAGGATTCAAAAGCTGTTTCAACTCACTGAATCCTCTCTTTAACAGCGAGGTACTCTCTGAGATTGCACAATTTTCTTGTGCAGCCAAAACGTGTAATGATGATGAAGATGATGATACTGACTGACGTTTATTTAGTTCATAACAGGGCCACATGGTGTGCTAAGGGTTTTAAATACACATTATATAATTTAATTACCACAATTGTGACAAGATACCACTCTCACTTCTTTTTCAAGTTCACTGAAATTATAACCACACAACAAATGGGTTGTATCAGACAAAACTGCCAAAATTCATCTGTTTTTGGTGAAAATGACAATTTCATATGGCTCAATCTCAGAGGAAATGGCAGAACCAGGTTTAATATCCACACCCAAGTTCAGTGCCGTTAAACTTCTATACATGACTGACCTCCTTGAAACTTAGTTCTTAGGGAAATGGAAAGATTAAATGAAACAATACTGGTCCTGTGCCCAGTGCGCAGTGATGCTCTTGAAATGTTCTTTTTGTTTGGGCTTTATTCTGTCCTAATCCTGGGGAGGCAGTGCACAGCTGTTTGAGCAGATGTAGCCAGCCAGAGTGAGAGGGAGAGGAGGAGGAAGAGGCGGAGAAGGAGGAAGAGGAGGAGGAGGAGGCCTGTGTCCATTTGCTAGATCCCAAGCAAGGGCCTGGAAATCCCACCTTTGTCCTGAACACCTCCCCCAACCCTTCCCCAGTCCCTACTCTTTACTCTTAGGGAGTCTGTTTTGAAGGGCAGGTCTGCGTCTTTTTTCTCTGTTCCCGCAGTCAGAGGGGAGGTGACAAACCATGGCCTTTCCTATTCCTCCTGTCTCTCAACCGCCCCACAAAATGGACTTCATCAACAAACTCCTCCCTTCCTGGCTGCAAAAGGAACGCTGAGACTGGTGGTATGTTGTGGGGCAGCTGCTGTGTGGAGCATGTAGGTGGTGGTGTGAGCTGTGCTCTGGCCCCCTGCACATCTGTTTGCATTAACTGTCTCTGCAGAGGATACAATCCCGGTAGCTCCACATTCCTCTTCCTCTTGCAAAGAGGGCAGAGATCTTTTTTTGTTGGAACTGCTGTTAGGGTGGGGTTTTTAGGGCTTGGGTAACTTTTAATCCATTTGTAGGGAACCTTTGGGAAGGAAACTCTCGAAGGCAATAGCAAGGACTGGCAGGTTTAGCCAAGGAAAATTATAGGGTATCCAGCCCTTCAGATAAGCAACAATATTTAACAAAAGTAAGACACTCAGTATTTGGGCTAAGTTTTTACTAAAAATTATATGTTTGTGTGGAATTCAAATTTACTAACCTCAGTATGGTTTGAATAGTGTCCAAAATCCAGGTGTAGCCAATGTGGTGGTATTAAGAGGTGGGGCATTTAAGAGATGATCAGGCCACAGAGCTCCTCCCTTGAAAAGGTAACAGAGGCCTTTACAAAAGAGCCCTTGCATGGGATTTGGTAAGCTTGCCCTGCACTGTTATAGTACAGCATTTTCCTCTAGAGGATATAACAGTAAGGTCCCATTTTAGAAGCAGGGGGAAACCCTCATTCAAGCAAATCTGCCAGCATCTTTATCTTAGAGTTGTTAGCTTTCAGCACTGTAAGAAATAGACTTCTGTTCTAAATTATTTAGTCTGTATTATATTCTAATACAGAAGCATGAAACAGGCTAAAAAATCTTGGCATCTTGTACTTTACTTAGCACCCTTACAGCAGTAGCACTCTGGTCTCCTTCTGATGCCAGGTGACTTATGATGATGCTAAGAACCCTTGGAGTAAGAGGGAGAGATATAAGCAATAGTTTGACCAGGCATTGCCTGTTTTCATAATCACAGCTCCTAGCAGGAAGGACAGAATTAAGTGATGTGCCCTTCACCTTCTCACATGTGTTCCTGGTACCAGTAGTATTAGCATCTATAATTTATTAGTAGTGCAGAGCCTCATGCCCAACCCAGACCCAGGGCCAGGGCCAGGGCCTACTACTGTTCTAACCAGTCCTATAGGTGATGATGCTGATGCATTGGGAGAACCACAGGTTTAGGCTTGGATCAAGATGAACCTTAGGGATCATATGACCCTGGGCTTGAAGCTCAGTTCCATCATTTGTTGGTTCCATGAACATAGTCAAATTATTTAGCCTTTCTACACTTTTTTCTTCCTAAAAAAAAATAGTATCTTATTTAGGACATGTTTAGTGTTAAATGACGTTATATACTGTATTTACACTCTGCAGTGCTTATCATCGTAAAATATGTAAGAGTCACTCTTATTTGTGACCTAGGTGTGTCTAGAGTCCTGCTCTGGGACAAATTTGATTCTCAGTATTGAAAGCTCCAGTTGCAGGGTTAATCTCTGTGTGCCCAGTTGAGATGAGACTGTAATTTCAATAGCTCCATGGAAGGTCAGAGGACTTGAAAAGAAAAGTAGAGACAGAGACAGACAGACAGACAGACAGACAGACACACACACACACAGAGAGAGAGAGAGAGAGAGAGAGAGAGAGAGAGAGAGAGAGATGATGATGATGATGATTGACATCCTGTGGATACTGGTTTCTCAACTCAAGGGTAGAGTCCTTCTGTGCAGGGCTTAAGGCAATTTTTCAAAAGACAGGTTTGTTTTTTTCCCCTCTTTTGTGAAAAAGATAGTGATTTCCAAGGAGCATTAGCACACTTGGGCATGTTTCATAGTTGAGCTGGGGCTGCTATACCAGTCTAGACCAAAGTTTCTCAACTTCAGCCTTTTTGAGATTTTGAGCTAGGTAGTTTGTGGTTGTTGGGGGCGGGACATGTACTATGCATTGTAAGATGTTTGGCAGCATCCCAGGCCTCTACCTCCAAAAGGTCAGAATCAACACCCCCGTGTGCATCCTTCTTCACAATCAAAAACATCCCGAGATATTGCTGAAAGTCCCAAATGGGAGCAAAATTGCCTTTGGTTGAGAACCACTGGCCACGAGAATCTGTTAGTACCTTTTTGAGCAATTTGAACAGCTATTGTCTTAGTTACTTTTTACTGGTTGCTGAAACAAAATATCTGATGCCCAAAGCTGGGGAAGGAAAGGTTTATTTCTTAGTTTTTGGGTTTCAGTCCATACTCAGTTGACTCCAAGGCAGGGTGGCGTGGCAGGGCCGCAGTTCATGGTGGCTGCAAATAGTAAGAAGGAAACTGGAAAGAGAGAGAGATACATCTTCTTCCTGCCATTACATTGTATGCTGGCTCCACCCCATTGTGGGTGTAGCACTGACACCATCAATCCAAGCACTAAACAATGAACCAATCACAAATGCACAATGCAAACACATGAGTCCTGGGGGCCACCAACGTAAACCATGACAGCCATCATTTATTGAGAATTTGCAAATAGTTCCTCCACTTTACATAGTCACTTTGCAAAATGTGTTTTGCTACCTACATTTTAACTGTTGAAGAAACCGAGGCTTGAGTTAAAATGACTTGCCTCAAACTTACATAGCTGGTAGATTTAGGATTTTGACTGTGAGGTTGATCGAAACCCCAAAGCTCCACAGTTGTTGCTGTAACAATCCATCTCTTTAAAAAAAATTAACACTTTAAGCTTAGGATGAGGCTGAGCTCGAGATCAACCACACATTTGTGGCTAAAGCAAGGCCAGCCCCAAGAACATGGAGCACCAGAGGCGAGCCATATAAACATGATGTTGGGACTACAGCAAAGCCAGTCCAGCAGGTATCTGGCCTTGGTGCTCCTTCCTGTTAACTACAGCACAGAGAGCGCGGAGAATGTTGCCCTTTCAGTGTTCCCAGCAAAACACTGAGACCTTGCACTTTTGACTCTGTTGCATACTTCCCCCTTCTCAATGTGTTTAAATAAAGATGCACATCATGCTAAGTCATCACTCCCTCCCCATCAGAGAGGTTGGGTCCCACCCATCCCAGCATTCCTATGTGTCTAGTTTTTTCTTAATCTCTCATCACCCCCTCTCAGGACCCCATTGGCTGTGCAGGTCATGGCGATAAGGAAAATCTTCAAGTTAAAAAATATGTATCAAGCCAGATGCTGTGAGAAGCTAACAGAGAAATCCAAAATACTGCTTTTTTCATATTGTCTTCAATATCCATGTCATTGGTAAGGTGAGATTCTCACACACAATATAGTTAAAAAGCAATATGAAGCATTCCAAGTTTGGACTACAAGGAGCATTCCCAGAGGTACAGATGTGAACTGAATGTTGTTGGTGCATGTCTGCTTCCTGCATTCTTTTGAGGTCAATTATGAAGGAGAAGGAGGAGGAGCAATGAAGCCTTGAAGGTCACAGTATCTGCCAGCCAAATGTCATTTGAAATATTAGTTCTCTTGCCTTTGGATGGGCTGTATATTGCTTCCAGTCAAACACTCAGCCATCTTCTTTCTGGCCCTCTGCATGAAGTTCACCTTTCCTCTCTCTCTGCGTATGGCTGTGTATTCATAAGCTTTGAGCTTGCTGTAGTAATCAGAAAACTTGTTGTAGAGGATGGAAATGGGCATTCCATTGAGGATAATCCCAAAAGCAATGCAGAGGAAGGCAAAAAGCCTGCCTAGATGTGTTTCCGGGTACATGTCTCCATAGCCCACTGTGGAGATGCTCACCTGTGGAGCAAAGCAGGATGGGATTGTTAGCATGATGAGGGAGGATAAAGTGAGAGAAGCAAGCAGGTGCATGGCGTGAGGGGCGGGGGAGTGTCACAGATTCCCCAAGGAGGACCAAAAAGTCTGCCTGCAGGGATGGTGTCCTGGAAAGAATACGAGCTGTGCAGCCAGAAGACTTTTAAATCCTACTGTAACTCATAACTGTTCTTACATATAAGATGTGGAAATCATCCCTACTTTAAAGGGTTGTTCTAAACAGTACTTAAGAAAATATATGTGGGGTTCCTCATGTAAAATGCACTCAGTAAATATTGATCATTGTCTTCCTATCTCCCCGGACCCCAAGTGAGGGCCAGCGTTAGGGGCTCCTAGGGCTTATCTGGATCATGTGTGCTAGAAAGGGCTGGAGCTTAGCTCTTGTGAGTCCAAGTCCCTTTTGAGCTGAGAGACCAAGGACAAAACATTCAGATACTTAAAGCCTTGGTTTCTTTGTCTAAAATAGAAGAATGCCAGCTAAGCCTCAGGATTCTAGTGCAGGCTAAAAAATATACGTAGAAGGCATTCAACATAGTATCAAACATGTACAGAACAGGAAGACCTTCCATTTTCTTCCCTTTCTCTTTAAAAGGAAGATATCTATTAACACTTCAGATGAGGTCTTTGATATGAAGTTACTTTAATTACCAATGTCTGAAGAAATATGCTCTGACTAATGTGTGAAGGGACTTTTTGGTCAGTGAGGATTTCCAAAATTTGAACACCCTTCATGAAATTTTTATCATTTTTGTCATACTGCTTTAAATTCCATAATTAGAAATTTATTTAGGTTAAGTTTCTATAAATGTAAGTACCCTTGGGGCTAGTTATCAGTTAGTGTAGTCTGAGAAAATCATGGAAAAAATCTCTTGGGGACTTTTTTTTTAATGCCTCATATGCCTTAGGTTGGTCTTCAGGTATTGGCTAAGTTATTTAGAATCTCTAAGCAAGGCTGCTGTTTAAACTGTAAACATTTTGCACAACTCTAGGGGGTGCTCATTGCTCTATCGATTTGTATCACTGCCACACTTTTCCAGCAGATAGCAGTAATCATACAAACTCATCCTGTTAAAACACCATACTAGGGTAGCTTTTAGAAATATAAACATTTTTGTTTTGATGATGCAAGGATTCATTTGAACTTACAAGTCCTGCTGATTGATTAGAATGAAATGGAAAAATGAGCCAGCTGGGCAAATCTGGAGAGACTGATAAGACCCACAACTCCATTCCGCCCATAAAAAGCAACGGTGCACCTTTTTGGAGGACAGGTGAGATATCAGGTGTCACTGCTCCATCACTGGTAAGAGACAATCTAAGAGATGGGCTACTTTGCCCAAAGTGGGAGAATTCAAGTGAGCACAGAAGAGCCAGGAGAGTGGAACAGAGGATAAGGAAAGAGAAAAGAGCCAGGAGAGTAGAACAGAGGATAAGGAAAGAGAAACTATATTAAACTTCCTGTGTCTGAATCTACTTCCCAGCTGTGTGAGTTGGCCATCTGAATTCTCTCTGCCTCAGTTTCTTTTGACATACGAGGAGAAGAGCACCTACCTGACTAGGATCGTTACAGGAACTGAAGGAGAGCCTGACACTGTGTGTGAACAACGTTAGTGTATACGTTACATCTGTAAGCAAATGCAGGAGGGCTCAATCTGACAGCTGGCGGCAGGTGAAGGGAGGCAAAAACCATTTTCGAGGAATTTTGTGTATGTCGTGGTTATTAGGTGCACAGGCTGTAGAAACAGGCTCCTCTCTGATTTCTGACAATGCTTATTGACTGGGAAATGAGGGCCTGATGGTCCTGGTGGAGAATCTCCTTTTCCTAATTTCTAGCCAACACGGTGATGAAAGGCCATGAAGAATCTCAATGGCTGTATGCCGTGAGCATTGTCATTGGTCACATCAATAGTCAAAGAACCTGGGTCAGATCTCTGTCCAAGGGTGTGAACTGAGCAATAACCTTCATTTGTCACTAATAGGATCACTCTTATCTCACAGGATGTTCCCTGGGGAAGGCTTAGGAGTTTAGATGGAGAGGTGAGTGGCAGGAAGGACAGTTTTAGAAATGAAACATCTGAGAAAGTCCAAGGGAGAGGCCTTGCAGGAAACCAGCACTCAGAGGCCCATGATGTAGAGGGCAAGAGGAAGTCTGGAGGGAAGAAAGAAAATGACTAAGATCAAGGGATTACTGTAAACTTCTGCTTAATCTCCATACAGGCTTTGATTTACTATTAACCCCAGTTCTGTGTGTATGTGTGCGCACATGCGTGTGCCTATGCTGGTAGAACTTTGCAAAGTTGAAAGTAGAGAGAATTGGCTTAAGAAGAGTAAATATTTGATGTACATAATATGCCCTGCATGTTTTTGTGTATCTTGGACCTCTAATTTTAGAAAAACAATCTCTTGTGTTAGGAGGCTGTGTATTACTTGGTTTCCAAGAATTTGCTCAAAATGTACAGTTAATTTATGTGTTTCCTTTTTGTGGATAATTTGATTTAATAAATGATTTTTTTCTTGATCCTTGGCCCTTGAAGGAACTCAGAAATCCTTGGCTTTCTGGAACTTTTTCTCTAGATTTTGTAGGCCAAACTATTTCTCCCTGTATACACATTAAATACTGAAGGCCCTGCATGACACAAGTGACCTCACAGAATTAGTTCTCACATTAGTAGGATCTGGGTTTGAAAACATGAGTAAAATATCTGCAGTCCAGCTTACTACCTAGATAAACTGCCTGGCTGACTTGCTTAGTTACTTTGCGAACTGGAAACAGCATTTTTCCTTAGCTTTGGTCCTCAAAAGCCAGAATGTGACCTTCCCCCAGCAACTCAATCACTAATCAGCAAATCTAGACCTGCCAAACATTATGAGCACAGGCATTAAATTTTCCTCTGAAACCTCAGAATGACCATACTTGGGTTTCTCATCCAAAAACGAATATTTCTTCTATAAAGATTTATGTATAGCGTGTTGACACTCAGTAGTCTATGAATCTAAGAATTATGATTCCAAGAAATAAAACCCATTTAGAATAATTAGTATACCTTCTAGCTTCCCCAAAGAGCTAATTTGTAAAGAATCACATCTGCCTAAAATTATTATAAGTCTGAGTGCATGTTACCTTTCCAAGGAGTCAGTTTCAAAGGCTGCACAGATGTTCCTTGTTTAACAAATGAGTTCTGTGTCTGTGGCTAGATTGTTAAAATGAATTGGTTACTAAGTGAGAAAGTGTATGTGTATATACATGATAATATTAAGAACAAAGAAATGGTCAAAGGAAACTCCAACTTGATGACTTTGCTTTTGTTTGGATAACTCTGAAGTACTGTAATGTACAACAGAACATAAAACTACACTATTGTACTGTACAGAGCAATATGCAAAATTATAGCACTGCCATGTACAGCCCTGGGTCGTAAGTTTGAATGGCATGCCTTGGTTGTAAGTCTGAGCATGATAAACAAGCTGTTACACATAAAACATCTGTACTTATTTGTGCTATTGTTACAAAAATATTTTTGGAATTTCTCTTTTGAATTATAATTTGCACAAAAGAGTCACTGACAAGACCTTGAGGCAAATGGTCATACCTAACTTGAGGGATAAATCTAAGTACTACTATTAAACTCAAGTGTATTTTGACTACATGAAAATATTGAATGCATCCTCAAAGAGGTACCTACTTAGAACCCTTATGAAGAAAGAAACGGACGTGTCACAGGCTCTGAAGGTAATTCCTCAGTGGAATTCAAAGAATGTTTTGATTAGTGAAGCCGTGGCGGTTCCATTGTGTCATGCTTAGTATTCTGGACTCTGATTAGTGAAGCACTGTAAGAATTAGGCCAAGGGTGACCACCTTAAAGAGATCAATCCTCATCTGTGGTCCTAGCATACGTTAAAGTGTTACAATGAGGAAGAAGTAGGAGAGGCTATAATAGAAAAGCAAGGTCAACCAGGTGTACAGCAGTGACGATGGCCTCTTCATTCTCTGCTTATTTGGTACTTCTCCCTGTCCTATAAGTTCTATCATGTTCCAGTGAAGTTGTATTGGGCAAAAGGAAAAATGAATGTATATATTTATTTTGTATCAGGGATCGAACTCATGACCTCATGTTTGCCTGGCAGGTGCTTATGCTGCTGAGTTAAATGCCTGGCAAGAACATACTTTAAAGACATAAAAGGAGACCACTCCAAAATCAGGACCAAAAGTCGTGTTTATTTACAAATCTTTTTCCAGTTGTAACTCTGGTACTGTTTCTGAAAAAATAGAGGAACAGTAAAGTTCAGGGCCAGGTATTGCCTCCTGTCTGTCAGTTCCCAGACTGATAGACATCTGGAATTCTGTAACTGGGAGTCTGTAGACTTCCTTTCCTGAATTCCCTTATCTGCTGTCACCCAATTATGGTCTGTGAAGGAGACGTACTTTTGGGAGACTAGAAATTGGGATAGGACATAAGGGTTTCAATTGCTGTTTCTGGTTGTTACCATTTTTCCATAATAGCATATAATGCTCCAATATTTTTCAGCACTCTTAGCAGCCACCTTATGACTGGCATCTTACACATATCTGCAACAAGTACAGAGTCCACCAAATACATACACACACACACACACACACACACACACACACACACACACGCACCTCAAGAAAAGAAAACTAGTGTGATTTTTTTTCAGTAGATGGTGTTATGCTCATGTGGGGAATCCTACAGATGTTGTGTATTTCAGAAAACTCACTACACTATTGGCCCTAGTTCAAAAATTGAAAATGCATGTGCAAAAATATTGATGACACAAGCAGCAGTTCATTGTATTAATAAATATCTGGAAGCTAATGGCCACTACTTTGAGCCCTTCTTGTAATTGTAGAGAATAAAGTAAGCTGAATTAATATCATGACATATCAATAAATTTAATATTAAAGTATTTATTATACCAGTTTATGTTTTCCTGAATTGTGTACATATGTTTTTCGAGCAGACTCTATATGCAGCAACTCCTACTCTGTACTCCTACCTTCTAGTAACACAACCTTTCCCCGTATGTTCTAAAGCCAATAGTTATGGCTTGCTTTTGCTATTCTTGCTGTTTCAGATTTCCAATACTGATGTATCTATTTCTCCATTTCAAAACCCCACCTTACTTTGTATTTTCATTAACATAACCTAACTAATTTAACCTTCCCAAAGGATCTCTTCAAACTAATCAACCAATATGAATACATATCAGTGATCTTGTGCCAACTCTTTGTAAGAAAGTGATCACCTACTATAGGAAAACAAAAATGGGCGCAATGTCTCTGGGGCCCAATTATTTGGTACCTCAACTTGAGACAAATACTCTTTTGGGAGAGTATTTGAAGACATTAGTTGATGCCATAGTTTCCTGTTTGGTTTCTACAACTTTAACTTTTCTGGAAGGCTCAGAAGGAAGTGACTTGTTGACAGTCCAATTGTCTCTTTCTACTTAAAAATACTCACACAGGCAGCCAATGGTTACAACTTTATCATAGAGCAAATTGTTGAGTTGCACCATGCATTTCCCACTCTCAGACGACCCAGAGTTCCCAATGATTGGTGCTGCAGAAGGCATGGACTGTTTGATTTGCACACACGGAAGCTCCACTGTGAGGGAACAGCTGATCCTTTTGTATGTTTTATACTCTCTCTTCCTTCAGTAGATAAGGAATCACTTATGTTTTAATTCCTTCAAAATGAATCTGAAAGCAAACATTGTTTCCATGCATTAAAGAATACAATGAGTCAGATATTATAACTGCCATTTACTGCAGATCTACTAGACCTGAATATGCATATTTTTTATCAGGGCTCACAAATAACCTCGGACAGATGAGTAAGAATAGGGCTCTCATCCTAATGCATGAGCATTTGCAGGTGTAAGGGTCCATGAGGAATTTGTTTTGCAGCTGTAGGAGAATTCATAAAATGAAGCTGGCTGTATTCCTCTGCAAACCCTAAGTTGAGTTACAGAAGAAGGATTATTGGCATAGAAAGAGGGAGGATTATTACAAGCAAGTCAGATTTAGGCTGCTTGGAAAGTACAAAACACATAATGGATTAAAGAATCTGTCTCATGTGGGGTAAAGATTCCACAAGGGAAATAGCTCTAGAGTAGGGTAAGAAAAATAGCAGTCATTTGTTTTAATTTCATCTTCAAATTGTCAATTTGTGAGTGTATGTTTTCCGATGAGTATAATGTATTTGAGCAGTAACAATACCACAGTAGAATGACTCTGTTGTTGGACTTCTTTGAACTTCCTGTAGCCAAGCTGTTTGCCATTTAATTTTACAGTGCTTTTCCCATCATAGGTGGCTAACCTGCCCCACCCCTGGAATGAGTGTGGCCATGTGACTTGCTGTGGGTTGAACAAATATGAACAGAAGCAATACAGTGCCTGCGTGATTGGGCTGTACTCAACTTCTTCCTCTTTGTCACTGACAAACAGATGGCTGTTGGAAGTTGAGGTATGTGTCGCCTCTTCTCTCTTCTTATTCTGTTTGTCATCCAGCTGACCATCAGACATGAGAATGAGTGATCCTAAGTGAGAAGAACCTTCCACTTAAAATCAGACTAAACTGCTTACTTTTATACTCATGCAGTAAATGAATGCTTGATGTTTCAAGCCACTGAGCTTTGGAATACTTTTGTTACATGGATACTGTGACAATAAATAACTTGTGTAATTACTTATAAATAATTTATATTTATCTTGGGTTCATACTCAAATTTTTTAAAAATTTGAGATGTATAATCAACATAACACTTGGAAACCCCTTTAGAGTTACTTTTAGGATTCCACTTCTTAGATGCTCATCTCTGTTTAGTCATAGATATTCAGGTGAATTTGTTCTCAGAATTGAAATGTTATTTCAATGTCATTCTCCTCAAGAAGGCTTCTCTGATTATACTATTGAAGGATGATTCTACCATCCAAGTCACTATCCCCATTAGCCTGTTTCCACTAGGATTTGAGCTCCATGATGGAAAGAGTTTTACCTTTTTTCTATCATTTTATATTCTTAGTACTTAGGAAATAGTGTTGGCATATTGAAGGTGCTCAGAAATTTGAAAAAGAGGGCAGGATTTGTTGTGGCTTACATGGGAAATTTGTTGTAATATTCTGTCATATTACTTTGCATCTACTTATGAGCACTAAGACATTTTCATTTTCATTGTCTTCTTTCCTCTTTGCTGAGAAGATGAATCCTCAGTCTACTATTCAAGGCAACCAGAAGGGCATTGATCAGTAACATCAGTTCTGGGGAATAGAGCTATCATAGAATACCTAAGGAAAGGAGTCCTATTGTGTTCACAGAGTCACTTAGAAAATAATACAACTTATCAATGATTGATCTAATTCATTATGACTTATACTGGTATACATCTCAGACTCAAATGAACAAAGGTCATGACATAAAGGGAAAGTTTGGACAATGGGAAGGTTGAGATGTGCAAAATTAGGTTAAAATATGAAAATGTCATCAACAGATAATGGCACAAAAACAGGACAACAAAAACCATTTCCAAAATTAAAGATAATGGTTGCATGATTCCTGAACTTCTTTTATAAAGTTTACAGAAAATACTGTTCTACAGAAAATTATTTCTGTTAACAAAAATAGGGAATAATCTGAAAGTCAAAATTAACTGCACATTATGCAATTCAAAAAATTAAGTAGATCAATAGTCACTTCAGGAAATATTTTAAAAATAAAAATAAAAAATATCCAATTAATATGTAAAACATTTTGAAAATATGTGTTAAAACAACCATGAAAATATTCCCTAGGTCCAATGTTTACAAACACTAGCCCTTTAAGATACTTGGATGAATGATAATTTGATCTCTTTATTATATTACCAACAAGTGGATTTGCTTTTTTGCCTTTCTACTGAAGTCACCTCCAAAGTAAATGTCATTTGCTAGGGACAAATCATCTTCCATGAGCTCCATCTGTACACATGGTTTATCTGCTATGGGGATGACCTTTCATAGCTTGGAACATGATCAGGAGATGCCAATCAGCTAGCTCATTCAGAAGAGCCCAATGTCATCCTGCACTGAAGAATACTCACAAGTCCTGGCATATGTAAGAGCTCTCTGCTTTCAGAGAAAGAAAACTCACTAAACTGTAAAGCTCTCCAAGTCCATCTCTCCTTTTATAAAAGCAGAAATGAAGTACAGGGATGATGGAGTGTGGTTTTTATATATGTTCTAAGCCACAGTTAATTATTGGCAGTTTTGAGACTAAAACCTGGTGCATTAAACCTTCCAGCATGCGCTGGGTTGCTTTGCTTTGCAGAATTTCACACTGGACTGTGAGTTCTAATATAACCAGTAGTAATGTTGAAAATACCTGCATTCTTTTTATGTTCACTTAATATCTTGAAAGGCATTAGAATGTACTTTAAAAAATGAGAAAACACATCTAACTCTTTCCCATATATGCCAGTTTAGTCACTGATCTAGAAAGACCCTGTTAGCATTTATTTGCAGGGATATAGCTAGCATACCAGGAACACATGTGCATAGGTAAATGTCATAAATTATTACAAAAGGTCAAATACAAAGAGACCAACATAACTAAAACAGTAACTGGGAAAATTAGGCAAAGCCCGTGAAAGAACCAAAACTTGTAAGAGGCAATGCTTCAGTGAAAAGGGCATGGATTTTGGAATTGGGTAGATTTGCATGTTAATCTTGGCTTTGCCACCGTTAGCTGTGTGTTTATACTCAAACTCTCGTACCGCTGTTTCTTTTGCTATAAAACTAGACAATCTTCTCTGGCTCTGAAAGAGCACTAGGGATGCTAGAACTGGTTCCAGGTTTAGATGCTTCTTTTCACATTTGGATTTACCTAGAAGCAGAAGCAGTGGGATTTCAGTTCAGGTCGACATTGTTCAGCCAACTCTCACTTCCAGCCCTGTATAAATCTATAGCTGTCTTCCAAAAATGAAACTACTTCCCATTTGTCCTTTGTGTTTTAAAACAGCAGTGATAACCACCTCACACAATTGAGATACTTAAATAAGTTTTATAGACCATTTAGGACATTGTGTGTTCCATAAATTTTATTTGAAAAATTATTTTACTTAAGTGGTTATTCATAACAGTGATGGTGAAGAAGCAGCCCACATCCATGAGGAGTAAATCTGCTTTAAAACCTGCCTGGCAAGCATTTTAAAGACTAATTTGGATGTGGGGATTCTTAGGACCAAGTCAAATTTTGTTACTTGTTAAACTACAGTGTCTCCGTCTTTCCATCTCCTCAGCCTCAACCATTATTTTGTTGGCTAAAGGCAGTGACAGGATGAAGAGAGCAGTGTTCTTTTGCAAGGGAGGGGAAAGACCAAGGAGAGAGAAGCAGCAGCTTCTGCGGGGGTGGAAGGTAGAGGACAGGGAGGACTGAAGTCATGGTACTCACTGCCGCCCACCACCAGGCGTGGAGGATGCTGGTGAAGTTGGTGCCGGGCACATCATGCTCCACGGAGTAGACAGCGGCGGAGAAGGCAAAGATGCCCATGGTGATGAAGAGCATCAGGCAGCCCACCTGCTGGTAGCACTGGCGCAACGTGAAGCCGAAGGCGCGCAGCCCGGTGGAGTGGCGCGCCAGCTTGAGGATGCGGAAGATACGTAGCAGGCGCATGATGCGCAGCACCTGGCCCACCTTGCCCACGCGACCCACCGTCTCCAGGTCGTGCTCGCGTGACGAGCCCTTGCTGTCCCGCTGCTCCTCGCTGGTGAAGCACTCGAGCAGCAGCTGCAGGTAGAGCGGCAGGATGGCTACGAGGTCCACCAGGTTGAGGGCACTGCGCGCGAAGCGTCGCAGGTCTGGTGTGGAGATGAGGCGCAGCAGGAACTCCAGCGTGAAGAAAGCCACGCACAGCGTCTCCACGTGCTCCAGAATGGACCGAGGGTCGCCGCCGCCCACTCCCTGCTCCGCCTGGTGCTGCATCTCCTCTACGGTGTTGAGCGCCAGTGCCACGACGGAGATGAGCACGAAGAGGTTGGAGGCCACCCCCATGGCCTTGGCGGCCACCGAGGAGAAGGGCTTCTCCATGAGGTTCCAGATGCGGCGGCGCTGTGGGCCGTAGAAGCGCATGTCACGGAAGAGCTCCTCGGCCTCCTCGGCCTGCGCCTGGGCGCGCAGCTCGCGCTGAATCTTGAGCTGCTCGCTCAGCTCATCGCGTCTCTCCTCGAAGCAGATGCGGCAGCAGCGCGGCGTGTACTTGAGCCGCACGCCCCAGTAGCCCAGCTCCTCCAGGAAGTTGCGCGGGCACAGCTCATCCAGCACCAGCAGCACCCCCGAGGTGTAGAAGTTGTAGATGAGCTGGAACACAGCTGGGTCGCGATCGAAGAAGTACTCGTCAGTCTGGGGCTCGTAGTCATCACACAGGCCCAGCTGACGGCTGCGGCTGGTGGAGGTGGCCAGGCGGCCCAGGCGCGTCTTGGGGTGACAGGCCAACTCGCAGTAGTCCAGCTGATAGCTGTGGCCACCCACGTTCACGTTTAGCATTGACAACTGGGCTGGAGTGTTAGCACTGTCATCCGGCTGGGTAGTGGTGACCTCCTCGGCAGCGAGGTCATCATCCTTCCACGCCTCCTCCTCTTCCCCCCCATCCTCGTCCTCCTCAATGTAGTAGTTATAGTTGCCTTGGATCCATGGAGTGATGCTGATCTGAGAGCCAGACAGAGCCCCTGTGGAGCAGATGCTCGGTCGGTGTTCACTGCTCCCCGTCTGTGGCTCCCCCTCACACTCAGAAACACTCCAGCGCCTGTAGCTCCAAGACCGTCTCCTCTCATTGCTTTGCTTCAGCATGACTGCAGGAGGTGGACCCTTTTCTTGTCCCTGCTGGCTCCTCACTATCCCTAGGGGAGGACCAGTTACATGCCTTGCCCTGTCTCAGAGAATGAGCCTGCATCAGCAGACCTCGGGTCCCAGGCACAGCCTTTAGACTCCTATTCCAGCTGGTGGGAATTCAGCCTAGGCTGCTGGTCTGAATTCAGCCAGTAGAGCACTGTTGACTAATCTTGCTGATAGGAAAGAAGTGTTAGAAGGGATTTGAGGCCTCTTAGCCTGTTCTCTCCCTCTACCCCCATCAGACAGGAGGGTGATTACGTGGCTTTAAATCTCTAGATAATCAGGAGGCAGAGATTATTGCTAATAAAAATGTCGGTCAACCTTGCTCCTAGGAAGTGCTTAGGGAATGTATACTGAGATAAAATCCACTAAATTAGCTATAGCATATGCCTGTGTCTTGGAGTTTAAGAACTGAGACAGATTGCAGCTTCTTCCCTAGGTAAACCTACCATTAAACAGGGATGACAACAATAGAATACTGACTTCATGGCCAGTTGTTTTCCCTATGAGGGTAACTTTTTGCTTGCTCACTCAGAGCCAGTGATTCTACAAGATCTTGAACAATCTCCTTCCCACCCATTTACATAATCACATTTTCCACATGGATTCTTGTCAGCAGCACTGCTCTGGAGTCCAATCAGGGTTTCTTTTTGTTTGTTTTTTTCATTTTTTTTTTTTTTTAATTTTCCAGTCAGTTCTTTAAGTCAGTTTCAGCTTCTTTCTCTTAAAAAGCATGTTTTAAAGTAAAATCCTAGTGTTGTAGTCAAGGCATGCAAGGAGAACAATTATATACAGGGAACAGAATTGATAATATTATTTTATTGATTATACAGAGCTAAGTACGAGGAAAGTTCAGGAAATCTGTCCACAACACTAAAGACCTAGAAAATCCAGCTGAGATCCTGGCAATAACCTGCATGAGTTCAACTGAAAACCTAGAGCCCATGACAATGCCCCCCATAAGTCCAACAGGAGGGCTAGAGCCCTTGACAATCACTCATGCAAGTCTTTTTTATGGATCTGCCTTTTTGGGAAGGCCCAAAGGTCAGTGGTAGAAGCTATAAAATCTATCCCAGTAGGATGAAGGAGCTGTGCCAGTAAGTTAAAGGTTCTACATTGGAAAAAGAAGTGGCACTCAAGGACCAGGGCTCCCCAGAAAAGTACCACAGCCATCCTCAGCAACAGTGAGGTCCTGAGCTCCTTCAAAGATGAGAGCAGCCAAGTACATATCAGGGAGCCAGTATGGCAAACTTCTCCTGGAGATTAAACAGCACAATCTTCCCCTCTGGAACCAGGAAGTGTTGCTCGGTGTAGGACCAGAGCTCCCCCAAAGTGAGCTGCAATCATTCTCAACAAGGTCCTGAGCTCCTCTGATGATAATGGCTGAATTTATATCAGGGAAGCTAGCATGACAAGCTCCTCCTGGAGAACCAGCAACTCCAAACAACAACGCTTAGGAGAACCTGCAACACCTCACTCTTTCTGTCCACATGCCCTTTTATGCTGGCAACTTTGCTCTGGTGGGCCGTCTACACTCAGCACCATGCTGATTTAATTCAGCTGGCATTAAGTTGACCACCAATTTTTAATCCATAACATCCAGGATTGATCAAAAGAATATTTTAGGGCCTTGTGTATGCCAGACTTCTTTCGCAGAAAAGGATTTTCATCATCCTTAAAAACATCACTTTAAAAAATGACTTTTTAATGATTGAGAACATTGTGCCAATGCTGGAAATGCCACTGTGATAGAGATATTGTGGTAGCACTCAACGATATTGTGGTTTTATTGGTGATATAAATGTGCAAGGACAGCAAAAGAACAGGTGAAATAAACAAGTATAGCAGAGAAGAGGCCAAGAATGTTTTGAGAAGAGAACAGATTTTGATTTCAATTCATTTTGCATAGCTAATATATGTTTATGATAAAAAATTTAAGGATACAAAGATACATTACCATAAAAACTTTCTCTTACCCCTAACATCCAGCCATCAACTGTGTTTCCAAGGAAGACTACTTTCTGGCTATGCTTTCAGGAATATTCTAAACATGTACAAGCGAAAATCTAGCCATCGCCATCGATCATCTCTGAATAGCCCTAATTCACAGATCACAGAATGCTGTGTGCTTGGCTTTTCTCCAGTAACTCTGTGACTCAGAGGTGTTTTTATATCTGAGCATAAATATTTGTCTCATTTTGAAAATAGATGGTGATAGATGACCAAGTTGCTATCACTGTTCTTATAAACAATGGAACAATGAATAAATTGACATATATTACTTTGCACATGCTCAAGATATATGAAAGACAGAATTACTAGGTCAAAGACCACATATTTGAAATTTTGATTGATAGTGTTAGATTTCCCTCCATAGAAAGTTTTATTTATTTATAATTCTCCATCAATGAGTTGGAATGTATTTGCATATTTTTTGAGCTCTACCAATTTTATAGGTGAAAATGACATGTAGGATAGTTTTAGGTTGCAGTTTTCTAGAATGTGAACATTTTTAAAGCTATTGTATTTATTTTTCTGGTGTTCACACATTTGTTCATATTTTTCATTCAGTTCCTATCAAATTATAGATGAGCTTAATAGATTATGAAAAAAGATTCTTCATCTATCATATAGATTGGAAATACTTTTTCTAAGTTTATTTGGTGATATTATTCCAAGTGAAATTTTAGTTTTATTATTTCCAGGCACTGTGTCATATTAGAAGGTCTTTATCATTTTTATTCTTAAAATGTTTCTGAATATTTTATTTTTAAAATTAAAATTACTTACCAGGAAAAAATTTGATGAGCAAAGTAGGGACCCAATGTTGTTCTTGAAGTTTTTGTCCTGATAGTCCAATATACTAACTGAATTAGCTGTCTTTTTCTTACTGATCAGTAATGCTTTGTCTGCTGTTAGAGGTATCATGTACTTCAGCTTAATTATGTTTTAAATTTATTATGACAGATAACTGTGGGGAGAGGGTCTGCACCCACTAGCATAATACTCACTGATGTTTTTCAGCTGGCAAGAGGCCTCAGCCACACAGGCTTATGATAAATCTTCTTACCAGGCTTAGCTTCCGTAGTTCCTGAATGCATCTCTGGTGCTCTCCTGTCAGCATACGGTGTTGATACTGTTTCTTTAGCACATGCTTCATGATTATCCAGTTTCCCACTTTCTTTGTATGATACTTGGTGTTGTCATCATAGTTGTCAGGTGTTGTGTACATTTATTTATTTACATTTTAAAGAGGAAAAACCAATAACATCAATGATACAGAATTTCAAAACAAGATAGGAAATTAACAATGGTGAACATATTGTGTATTGTTATCTTCAGAGAAGTTGTTCTGATTATGAGACATAGGCATGTGAAATTGATCAAACAATAAAAGCTCTGTCATGGTTGATGTCAGTGGCCCCCAGGCCTGATGCGTTTACATTATGCATCTGTGATTGTTTCATTGTCTAGTGCTTGGATTGATGGTGTCCATGTTATACCCACATAGGGGTGGAGCCAGAATGTGATGTAATGTCAGGAAGAAGGTGTGTCTCTCTCTCTTGCTGGTTTTCTTCTTGCTGTTTGCAGCCACCGTGAACTTTGGCCCTGCCATGCCACCCTGCCTTGCAGGCAACTGAGTACGGACTGAAACCTCCAAAAACTGTAAGAAATAAACCTTTCCTTTCCCAACATTGGGCATCAGGTGCTTTGTCTCAGCGACAAGTAAAAAGTAAGTAAGACAAGCACAAATGCTTCTTTTCAATGAACTAAAAGAAATTAGTACTATAATTATCTCACTTATGTATGTATGTACATATGTATATATATTTTTTCCTTTGTTCTTTTCTCTTTTCTACCATTCCAATTATTCTTTCCTTTTGAGCAGCTTTTTCTCATTTTCAAAATATCTATTGTGTATTTTAGATATTATTAATTCTTTGAGTTTCTTACCCTAGGGTGACAATACTATGTTTACACATGGGAGACTGATTTATTTCACTTATGTATATGGTTTCTAGTTGCATGTATTTACCTATAAAACCTTGAATTTATCCTTCATTATAAAGGAATAGTATTCCATTGTATAAAATATGACATCTATTTTATTCATTCCACGGTCAATGGGTATGTGGGTTGTTCCCAAGATTTAGCTACTACAGATTGTGCACCTATAAACATTAGTGCACATGTATTGCTGTGGTGTGATGTTTTAGATCCTTCTGAGAATATACTGAGAAGGAGAATATCTGGGTAGACTGAGACCCTAATCCTAGTTTTCTGAGGAAACTCCATAATTATTTCCAAAATGGTTATATCAGTCTACACCCTCATCAATATTGGAGAAGGGGTACTGTTTTCCACAGCTCCACTAGCATTTGTTATTGGTTGATTTCTTGATGATAGTCATTCTTTCTAGAGTGAGATGGAATCTCAGTGTTGTTTTAATCTGTGTTTCTTGAATGATCAATGATGTTAAGCGTTGTTTCATATATTTATTTGCCATTCGTATTCCTTCATTTGAGAAGTGTGCATTCATCTCTATTGCCCAATTTTGGTTTAGATCTTTGAATTTAAGGGGCTTTATTGTTTTCAGTTTTCAGTACTGTTTTAATTTGCATTTCTTGAGTAACCAATGATGATGTATATTTTTAAAAATATATTTATATGCTCTATATATTTTTTCATGTGAGAAGTGTGTTTTTATCTCAGATGCCCATTTTTGGAATGGGTCTTTGAATTTAAAGTATTTTATTTTTTTTCAGTTCTTTATATTGTTTTAGATAGAAGTCCTTTGAGGGATGCTTGGCTAAAAACTTTTCCAGTCTCTAGGTTGCCTTTTCACTCTGTTGCCCATTTCTTTTGATGCGCAAAAGCTTTTTAATAAGAGATCCAAGTTGTTGGTTCTTTGAAGTACTTCTCATGCAGTTTGGTTTTTATTCATAAACTCTTTGCCGACACCTATATCTGCAAGATTTTTGCCTACTTTTACTTTCAATAGATTTTGTGTTTTGTCTTAGTATTAAGGCCTTTGATCCATTTTGACTTTAGTTTACTGTATAGAGATAGACATGGGTCTAGTTTTAGTCTTCAGTTATTTGAAAGCCAGGGTTTTCAGCATAGCTTATGGAAAGAGGCTATCATTCTTCCAGGGAATATGTTTGTCCTGTTTGTCAAACATAGAGTGTCTTTGTAATTGTGTCTGCATC